TTAGCAATTGATGGCTTCAAAATCTGATGCGCCTTTTCGAGATGCAAAGAGCAAGTTGCAAGAAATAAGGGCAAAACAGTCAAAACGCGTTGAAGAAAGGGGGGACACGAAAGGGGAAAGAAGGAAGAAGAAGAAGCAAAAGAAGGATGATGGACATGTGTGGTCTTGATTTGAAATGATTGGTATGTTTACAGAAATACACAAATGTGTAAATGTTTTATGAAGTTATATTTTTGTATTATGGAATTGTAAGTTACACATTATGTTGATCCAAATTTTGTAGGTGGAGATGGGAGTTTGAGGCAATTATTATATTTTTTTGTGGGATGTTATAGAGTATTGTGTTTTTGTGCAATGTAGCTTTTTTTGAAATATTTGTTCACTAGTAGTATGAGAGAAGAATTGGAGCACAAGAAATGTAAAATGATGAAATGATCTTCTATCATTGCAAACAAACATAGTTACACATATACAATGTAAACTTGCCCAATATCACACTCAAGATGTACTCGGAAAGATTGTTGAGAGCCATCTTGAAAATAATGGGAAGCATCTTAGATTGAAACAATGGTTTTGTTTGGTGTTGAGAATGTATAGGCATCAACTTGATAGTACAATCTAGAATTGTCTTGCATAAATTGGCAACCAATTTCTATATGTTTTGTTAATGGAAGTTTGTATAGGGGTCTTGAGAGAAGATTCCAAAACACCAATGTGGGGTCTTGAGAGAAGATTCCAAAGTCTAGTAGCAAATATAACCATATGATTTCACTTGTAATCGAAGTAATAACATGATATTCTGCGTTATTTGATTATGTGAACCACGATTTGTTTCTTTGATTTCCATGATATCAACGACTTTCCAATGAAAAATAAAAAACCCGTTACAAGTCTTCATTGAATGCTTGAATTTGTAAAGATGGTTAGAAAAGCGGTGTTAATGCTTTGGTTAAAGTTTGTTTTGTTGAATTGGTTACAGTTTGAGCGAAGGTCATGTTTTTCAAAGCATGTTCTTTTTTCTTATTAAGCACTTGATCCTTTAAGACAAAGGTTCAAACTTTCCATAACCCTTCTATCATTAGTCTTAATGGATATTGTTTCCAACTTTATCTATGAGAAAACATCATGCAAAAAATCCTAAATTCTATGTCTAAAAGAAGTTCATAAGTGGTAAGATCTCTCTTGTATAAAACCAAGAGAGCACAAACATGCATTCTTTTCTCCACCAAATGACTAGAAGACAACAAGAACCAAGTCTAAGGCTCTTGAGTTTCCTAAACAAATTATTAAGTTTCTAATATTCACTAAAGTAAAGATCATAAGCTTTTAATGATTTTTTTTTTGTTGTTTTAAATGTTTAGGTTGAGCTAGTTTGCAGGATTGCAACAGTGTTACTGCAGTTGCATCATAATCAGTTAGTTGCTACAACAAGTACAAAAAACCTCTTTTGGCTCTTCTTAAAGACATACTTCATGTGAAAAATTAAGGTACAAAAGTTAACATATACATATATTTGACTTAATTTTTATTCTTTAAGCAAATTGTACATTTGGTTATGGATTCAATTTGGCAGCCATGGATCACATTAAGGTTTGACTTTTTTTTTTTTTTTTTGACTTGAGTAAGGTGGTAAATCCGTAAATTACATTTTTATCGTTTTGGCTAAAGTCAAAAACTTTGATTTGTTTCAGCAACTGATGGCTTCAAAATCTGATGCGGCTTTTCGAGATGCAAAGAGCAAGTTGCAAGAAATAAGGGCACAACAGTCAAAACGTGTTGAAGCACGGGGGGACACGAAAGGGGAAAAGAAGAAGAAGAAGCAAAAGAAGGATGATGGACATGTGTGGTCTTGATTTGCAGGATTTGTATTTTTAAAGAAATGATCAACAAATGTGTAAATGTTTGATTAAGTTATATTTTTGTATTATGAAATTGTAAGTTTCACATTATGTTGATCCAAATTTTGTAGGTGGAGATGGGAGTTTTGAGGCAATTATTGGATTTTGTTGTGGATGTTATAGAGTATTGTGCTATTATGCAAAGACTTAAGTATTAATTACCTTTTTTTTTAAAATATATGCTCACTAGTATTATTAGAGAAGAATTAAAGCACAAGAAATGTAAAATGATGAAATATCTTCTTACCCTTGCAAACAAACACAGTTACACATATACAATGTAAACGTATGTCCAAGATGCTAAGCTACACATAAGTAATAGAATTTGCTAACTAAGTGATTAGTAATTAAGTACCATGCTTACTAATATGTGATGCTTGTGAGTCTCATAGCCATATGAGAGCTTGGAGTTGCATCCTAGAAGCTCAAGTGCAAATAAAGATATCCAACATCATGCTTAAGATGTACTTGTTGAGATATTTTTTAGAGCCATCTTGAAAATAGCAGGAAACATCTTAGATCAAAGTAATGGTTTATAAAAAATAAGATGAGAACGTATATGCATCAACTTGATAGCATGGTATTTTGCCTCAACTATAGAATGTGAACAATGGTTTGTTTCTTTGATTTCTATGATATCAATGACTCTCCAATGAAACACAAAAACTTATTACGGATCTTTGTTTGGCAGGGCAACCAACTCAATCAGAGTAATTGAATGCTCGAATTTGTAAAGATGGTTTAGAAAAAAAGGTGTTAATGCTTTGATTAAAGTTTGTTTTATTGAATTGGTTAAAGTTTAGAAAACCTATGTTATTTTTTGATTAAAGCCATGAAGCATTGTTTTGTTATCATTTTGGTAAAGGCATGGAGGCTTATTTTGTTATTTTGGTAAATCTAGGAAAGCTTATGACTTATTTCTATTATTGCAAAAAACTTAAATGTTTGTAACTTTATGCTATTTTTTACACACATATTATTTGAATATTTTATTGTCTTATATATATATATATATATATATATATATATATATATATATATATATATATATATATATATATATATAATACATGGCTATATGTTTAATTTACACAATGCATATGATACTTATATGTTTTAATCAATGTTGTTGGAAAATATCAAGCTTTGGATTGTGCATCATTATGTGTGGATTTCATGACCATAGATTATATTCTTGTCTTGACACTCGTAAAAACACTACTTGGACGGTACCTCCATTTGTAAAGTAGTTGTCTAATCCTAATATGGGAAACGTTTCAGGACAAGGGGATATTCCTTGGGAACAAGTTCCAAACAGGGTAACAACTTGAGGGCAAAGTACTACAGATAAGTACATTCATTAGGAAACGTTCTAGAACAAAGGGACATGTCTTAGGAACAAGCTTCATATCGGGTGTCAACCTTAGACTGAAGTATCACATACAAATGCATTAGGGTTAGCTTGGTGGAACTAGACCAATGTTGACCGATTATTTACATTTCATTGTACTTTGATACATGTATTGTACATATATACGATTTGGATATAGAATATTATTGTGTTGGCTAATTGTTTTGGAAATTTGCAAGTACACTATGGATTGGGAAATGTCCTATCTTTTACCATACTTTTGGGAATTTATACATTTGTCAGATGGTTTAAGTTTGCAAAATAAGCAAGATTTGAAAGACAATGTTTGACTTGCAAATATTTGAACAATATGGTTCTCAAAAGGTAAAGTGTTTTGAAATGCAAAGTATTTGGAAAATAATAGTATGAGATGGAAAAGAGTTTTTGGGAACATGATTTTCAAAATACTAAATGGTTTTGAAAGGTATTTTGTGGCTAAAATTCATGTACTTATGAGACAATATCGTCTCACATATCACCTTTCTATATCATGTGTTTCAGGTGGTGCTGAGATAAAGCAGTTATGGACCTGTCCTAAGATAGAATATGCTTTTGAAGAATATAGATGATCATTAAAATGGACCGAACACTAGTGGAAGTTATTTTTGTTAGTGTATTCCATGTCGGTGCAACACGGTCTTATAAGTGACTATATATGTTGGAGTCTCATTCTCTCCTAAAGGCTCTTTTAGAGAATTAATATTGAGCTCTACATATATTTACATAGTATCAGAGTCGGCGTTCTGCACCCCCGTGGCTTAACACATCACTGTTTATTCTCATCGAGCCTCTGACTCTGTGGGGGAATGTTAGTATATCCAACATCGGTGCGACAATCTTATAAGTAACTATATATGTTAGAGATCCATATTAAATGAGAGTAGACATGGAGACTCGATGAGAATAAACATGGATGTGCAGAGCCACGATGGTGGAATTGTAACCACCAAATTAGACTACATTTTTTAAATCCGTACAACTAAGGTATAGATTTTATGCTAATTCCTGATAGGAAAAAACTAGGTGTTGCAAAAACTAGCATGCAATTTTAATCTCGTCAGCCATTACAGACTCGTACACTAACAATCTCATCGTGACTCCAACCTCATAACGAGATTCTCTCTCTCTCTCTCTCTCATTTTTTTTCTTCTAGTTTTTTTATTAAAAAAATTAAAAAAAATTAGATGAAAGATAAACGATTGGTGAATAACACAAAGTGAAAGATTGAATGAAAGTTGAATGACAAAGGATGATGTGCAATTAGTGACAATGAAAGATGAAAAATTATAATAACACAGGGTCTAATGATTACTACGCAAAAATCTTAAATTTCTCAACATATGGAACACATATTTTAATTTTAATGAAAGATGAGAGATTATTATAACACATGGTCTAATGACTATTTTGCAAAAATCTTAAATTTCTCAATACACTCGAACACCTATTTTTTATAGTGTCGTTCCTTCTTGTTCCAAATATATATCTTTTAGTTTTAATTAATATTAATATGATATTCTAGACACTAGAATAAAGAATGAATATCTTGGCAAATAATGGTTAAATAGATCAACCACCGAGAATGAACATAGTGAACAACCAACTTACTAATATGTTTTTTTCTTCAAAATCTTAAATGATAAAACGTTTCTAATTTCTAAATGATAATATATTTTTTTCTTCAAAAACAAAACGTTTATTTAGAGCTCTATATCAACAACCAACTTACGAAACTTAGAATGACAATTACAAGACTTGTGACATTATCCAATATGTTTTTATTATAGAAAATTTAACTTCTGTACTATAACACGATAAAGAAAACGAAGGTTGTGGGTTCATAATGCATTTGGAAAACTTTGTATTTGAAGTTTTCACCCCAAAAGAAATTTGTGGGAAGAAGGGTCAGAAGAGAGTGATCCAATGCGACCCATTCAAGATTCCCCAATCCAATTTTTGCGTTGTCAATTCCTACATATATACATGCTCCTTCCCAAATAATCCATCAAAAGCTATAGCCTTCCATTCTCCCTCTCCATCTCTCTCGTTATTTCGCAACTTACCGCTGCAATGGCAATGGAGGTTAAGGTGTATTGCAGAAAGAATAAGACGGAGAAAACCCGACAAATTGATCACATACCCAAGTGTTTTCAGCTTCCGAGAAGTGCTTCTACATCCAAACCTCGCACTGAATTCTTTCTTCCCATCTGTTCCTCCAAAGGTCTTGTTTAACTCTTTCCCTTTTTCAAAATTCGAACTTGTGTTCCGGAAATTGCGACTTGTGATTTGATATATGAAGCATATGTGTTGATTTATGTATGAATTGGCTTGATCTATCAGCCATTTCCGAAAAAAATATGGGTACTTTTGCATGTTTGTTCCGATTAGGGTTTCTATGAATAGTTTTAGATTTCTTAGTTCATGTATGCATAAAATTGAACCTGTTGCAATTTATATTTCCCTATTCTATTCATTGAGTGCACAATTTGCTAAACTCTAGATAGTTTGCATGATTTTTAGTCCTTTTTTTTTAAAGTGTGATTGTTTCATCTTTCTTTAGAACATAATTGATGGAAAAAGGCACCTTCAACTTCAAGGTTCCTTAGGTTTCACATATGAGTAACCTTAATAGTCTATACTCTACAGGTTCATCTGTTTGACCAAAATTTATGTTTGTAATAGAAAATATTTATTGAATCCATAAGAAATCTCTACTTTCTGATTGATTTGATTTTATGTGCTTTATCAAGTAATGTTGGAGGGAAATGTGGATAATTGCATTTATGAGATATTTGAATTTTTGTGAAAGAATGCCCCCATAACATTGGCAAAGTTGTACATATAAATTAAAAGGTGTAGACTAATTTTGAATGAATCAAAATCCATCAATGGAATTGGGAATTGAAGGATTTGGAACATGAAGGAATTAAATTCTATCATGCATTTGGTTGAGGGGAAATGGAATGGAATTCATGTGTCTACTTGTGTTTTTTCGTCTTAAAAAAGATGTCTTTTTGTTTATTATGACAACACAAGTAATTATCTTCCATTTTTTTCTGTTTTTTTTTTAATGTAACAGATATAGAGCTTCGAGAGATGCAGACAAGTGACACTATGGGGAGGTTAAATATGTCAAATGACACAATTAGGCGTACAAATACAATTTATCCATTTGTTAAATCCATTGAGTCTGAAAACAATTTATCCATTTTCTAACACTTTGATCTTTCCTCGATATCAAGAACACATTTTTAACTCTTTTTTTTGGTACCCTTAATATATAAATTCTCAAAGTTTTTATTTTTTTTATGTGGGGATATAGAAATTATGAAGATAGAAATGATGCATTGGATTTGGAGCTGAATCCTAATAGATCACAACCAACAGAAATCAGTGAAGTATCCAGAACTCCAGGAAGTGTTGTTTGGGCTAAAACACATGATCAAATAGGTAAAATTAAAATCTTGAAAGTTTCCAAAAGAGGAAATATTGTAACTTTTTATAAAAATTGCTCCAATTTTCTTCAAACATTTTATATTTTCTTTTTTGCTCATTCAGAAAGGGATAACTCATCGAGTTCAGGTAGAGCAAGAAGCAAGCGTGAAAGAAAACCAAAAGTCCATTTTGATGTGAGTTAAAGGGTGCTCAAATTTGCTGGTTTTCTTCTACATTCATAAATTACAATTTTAGTCCTGAGTTTATCTCTTTCTTTCACCTTGGTCCCTAAGTTTTCCTTTTTGCAAATTTGGTTATTGTTTAAGGTTTTTGTATGTTTGAAGTAAGGACCAAACTTGCAAAAAGGAAATACAAAAGCCTCAGGGACCAAATTTGCAAATTATTTTAAAATATAGATATAAAATGACATGTTTTTATTGTTATGTAGGAGGTCAGTTGCCCGTTATATACTTCAAGAAAAGTTAGAAGGTTTAAAATAATGCGATCTCTTGGACTTGCTGCACCTGTTGGATCACCTTTTAGCTCTTCATGAATGAATCCAATTATTAAAATTTACAATTGATAATTTTATAATACAATTGTTTAGTTTATTGTTAAGTTGAAAATAGGAATAAGTTTTTATGAACACGAGTATAGAAACTATGGAGTATGTATAGTTGCTGCATTTTTACTCCACATTGAGTTAAATTATAAGAATCGATACTGAATATCTGCAAGATAGGTTGAAATTGTTTATAATCTTTGAGGAATCAGAATTTGGTGTTTCCTCAATTTGTTTAGAGGGACATCAAACATGAAGTTTATATTGTTAGTGCAATGTTTCAAAGACCAAGGACTGGTTTGTTCATTATTAAAACATGAGGGGGTAAAAATATAAATTATTTCACAAATTGAAAACAAGACACCAATTTTGTAACCAAGTGTGGTTACAAGAAGTAATTGTGAAATTTATTTTACAAGAAACATTTCATAGTTAATGTACTATAGTCATTGTAGAAAAAGAGAAGTTTTAAACAAATGGGAGCATAGAAAATGTTTGAACAAATATCATTAAAGTACTAAAGCATGTTATATAAAAAATGTTTGAGTATTATGATATAAATGTGAGGCACGATTTTCATGGATAAAGCTTTAAATTTTTTTTTTTTGGCTAATTTACTTTCAAAATTACAAAACTTAGCAATGTATATTATATCACACTATAGTTTTATATTTAAAAATGTCCGATAAAGGTTATGATTTTTTTAAATGTGTAACTTATGTTATCCAGACTCTTAATTCATACAAAATGGGGTTGAATAGCTAAACCATTTGGGTAATTGCTTATTGGATATCACCATCCACTTCATTGCATATTCTCTCAAATAACCATTCTAATTCAGGTACGCTTTCGTATTTATTGCAGATTCTCTTAAATAACCGCTCTAACTTAGGTACTCCTTCATTGTGGTGGTCTACTGATAATGTGATACAACCATTACAAGATAGCAAACTCAGTCGTAGCTAATATTTTCCATATTACAAAGTGACATTGGTTCTAATAATTGTCCCATCACATCAAAGGTGTAATGATGAGTTTTTGTAGGACTTCATAGATATACATACCATCGTGCTAATAGGTTTTGTGAACTTGTTTAGCGGGGTGTATAACTTTACAAGATCTTGGTAAAGTCGTACTGTGTAGGTATGTGTTTATATGAATTTTAGTGAAGATATTGTTGTATAACTTTATAGAGGACTTGTACAAACCATGCATATAAGGTAATGTCAAATGTGACTTGAAATTTGATGACTCAAATGGATATCGACCCGTAAAGAAACTTGACACCCGATATCGACAAGATAAGTGTTTGGAGTAGGTTGAGGTCCGTTAGACCTGAATCCGTACACGACAAACACTTATCCCATGGGGTGGTAGGGGGGGGGGGGGGAGCCCTCCTCGGTATGAACCTGCATTGATACGTGTAACTATGCGTGGCCTATTCTAGTTAGGGTTATGTTTTGTACGTTGCCTATATAATACATCGAATAACTAGGGTTTCAATCATACTATTGGTTTTCAAGCTCATGAATATGAACATTTCCCTCCTGTCCTGTGGATGTAGATCACACTGAGCTTGTATGTGTAATTTATTTTCTCATTTATTCATAGGAGGTCGTGATGAGTGTTTACGAGGAAAGTTTGTAAAGACGTGAATAAGGTGCAAAGCCCTACCAAGAGGGTTTCAAAGTTGTGCAAACTACTACATATGGCTTCTACTTTTATTCCTAAGAGTAGTGACGAGTGTTTACGATGAAAGTTTGTAAACCGTGAATAAGGTGCAAAGCCATACCAAGAGGTTTGCAAAGCAGTGCAAACTACTACATATGATTTCTACTTTTATTCCTTTTTGGTGTTTATGGAATTAGTGTTTTCATACGAGGTTCTTACATTTAATATGTGATATTGGACCTTCTAGAGTAGAGTTAAGAAGAGTTTAAAGGGATGAAAGATATTATTTCTTAGTAGAGTCGTGATGTGTAAATATGTTGACTTCTCACTCAACATTAAGGTTTGCAAAATATTTTTTTGTACATCCACTAAGATGTGAGTTTTGTTAGTTGCACGTCTCACCTTTAGTGACACGAGGTGTCATGTTACTTACAACAAAGCTACCCATTATATGGTGTGCACATGAGTTGGTGTTCTATTTGTACTTTTGTGATACCTAGGCCCAATCCAGATGGTGGGCAACCTGGACGATTGTGTATGACTCATGTCTCCAAGGGATCCAAAATTCATAGAGTATATATATATATAATATATATATATATATATATATATATATAGAGAGAGAGAGAGAGAGAGAGATAGTTAATTTATCTAAATATGCTAGGAAGTTTTTTTTAGTTGTTTTGTAATGTTGTGATCATATTTGTGTTTCTTTTTTAATATTAATAATGAATTTTATAATGATGTTTATTTTCGATTTAATTTTTATTATATTTATGATTTTGGTGGTTCATTTTTTCTTTTTGATCTGACCTACTATATCTTTGGATCGGCACCGGTAATACCCGATTTACACCCCATTCCCAACCACTTCAACATTAAGAGAGGTTTCATAGTAACGAGACAGCTTCTGCAACTTCATCACAACTTATGCTGCGAATTGGATGTACTATGTAGTAACTTAGGTCTTTTTAGAGTGCCTTAGTTGTATAACTTTTTATAGAATAGCTGTATTTTATAACGAAACTAGTAAAAAACTAGAAAACTACACAAAAATTGTTAGACTTTGGTTTTTAAACCGATCAACCCAACTAACCTTAACCTTATTGTTTCAACGCACGAACCAATTGAATGAAAAATCAATTATGCTATCGAAAAGTAAAGATTTAATGAGTTTTATGTCTCCAAACATAACATCGTTTTGATGTCTCCAAATCGCCCATAGTGTCAATCAAGGAGAGCGCACCAAAGTAAGATATTAATCTTCCTAAGAATAAACCTGTTTCACCGAGAAGCCCTTCTACCGTTCGACAGCCAAGCATCATCCATTAAATGGCGAATTCTAACTACCTTAATTTCCGCAACCCCCCCCCCCCCCCCCCTACATTCTATCGCTACATATCTTTCCGTTTGGAAATCCAAACATATTCTAGAATGTTAATAAGCGCATCAAGATGTCTATATAGTGTATCCCATGTAATTGTTCTACTTTGGTCCTAGTTCTAATCACCATTTCCACCTTTGCAATAGTACAACTCCTGTTTCGATCAAGCAAACCGTCTATAATTGCTTGTGATAGGTACATCTGTTTATGTTGACAAAAATTTCTATACCATTTTGGATCTGCTTTTTTATGGTTGGATATATTAGATTATTTTTTATAATAATTTGTATTAGTTATTTGATAAATTTACAAAATTGATAAACCCAATATTCTAGTTGGATTACTAATTTAAAGTGAACTGTTAATGTTAATGTTAGCTTAAAAATAATATAATAACAATAAATTTAAAAATAGTTAACCAATTAAAAAAAACAAAACTCAGTTATCTTATCCTTCGTTTCTCATCCTTTGGCCTAAATTATCAAACCTGTCAAATTGCAATGTAGATAACTTGGTTTGTAAAACCATAAAATCAAACTAAACCACTTGACATATATCTTGCAATCTTGCAATCTTAACCGTTCAAATCATATATATTTATTATAAGATAACAATAAATTAATAATCGTCCTACTTTGCTGTTCAAAATAATAATAATAATAATAATAATAATAATAATAATAATATTATTATTATTATTATTATTATTATTATTATTATTATTATTATTTTAGGATCATAATCATTATATTTTTTAAGGAACTCTGAGACATGTATTAATTTTCTGGAAGGGTGAATAAAAAAGCACCGCAAGCCACCTGGCAATTATACACGACGGGCTGTCTTCTTCCTTCTCACTGCGATTTTGCGATCCGATTTTCTTCCCTTTTCATCATCTTCTTTGTTTTCCTTTGATTCAATGCAGTGATGGCATCAAGTTCTGGAAACTCGCTTCCTGCTCCTGGTACTTCCCTAATTCTACGTTTTTTTCGATTATCTAAATCAGAATTTTCATCATATATTTTTATCTTTCATTCCCAGAGGCGATTCAGGTTCTGGTTTCATCGCTCGCTGATGAATCCCCAATGGTTAAGCAAGCGTCCATGGCGTCTCTTAAAGCCCTCGCTCCTTTGTAAGCATACGTGTATTGTATACGTAATGTTAAGTTTTCACTCTTAATTGAATTGGTGAATTGAAATTGAATGGAATTGCAGGAACCCGCTTTTAGTTCTTGATTGTTGCTTAACGGTATCTCGAGGCGGCCGTCGGGTATTTACATTCTTATTGCATAAACTCACAAAGCCCTCTCTTTTCCACAATTACTGTAATTTCAATAGTTGTGCACTAATAAAGCTATATTTTTTCTGTAACACTCTTCTCAAAATTTGGTAAAGGCGACTCTAATTTCACAGCAAGCATCGTGTTACTATACGGCTTATCACTCACTGTAACATATATTACACACGTAATCAGAAAAAAGAAAGACTATTTGAACTTCTTTTTCCTGTTATTTGCAGAGGTTTGGGAATATTGCTGGTGTATTTACAGTCATGTCAATTGCAATTAGTGCCCTTGAAGAAGGGGAAGTTGACACCGCTTATATGACCAAACTTGCTAAACTTGCCACTGCTGAGATCATTTCATCAAAGGTAATTTTGGGTCGAGTCTTTTCAGTATTGTTTCTCTAATGATTAATCATTTCAAATTTTGTAATGTAATGCTTATAATATTGTTTGGCATCTATCTTTTAATATGCCATGTAGGAAATAAAAGCTGATTGGCAAAGGGCTGCTTCATCTCTACTTGTTGCTATTGGTTCTCATTTACCAGACCTTGTAAGTAGATAGAAACAGTCAAAAAGAATATCATCATTCTTTCACATCTATCTTTGTTCCAAAATGTATGCCTGATTGTTCAAGCTTTCTGATTTACTTCCATAGATGATGGAAGAACTATTTCTTCACTTATCTGCACAAAACTCAGCTCTTCCAGCTATGGTTCAAATACTTGCAGACTTTGCTACTTCTGATGGTTAGTCCTCTATCCAACTCTTTGGCATCCTTATGAGTCTTCTTTCATGTGTTCAAAACTGAGTCCTGAAACTGAATATCTTTTGGTGCTTTGATCATTTATTTGAAGCTCTGCAGTTTACCCCAAGACTTAAAGGTGTGCTTTCCCGAGTTCTTCCCATTTTAGGGAATGTTAAAGATCAACATCGGCCAATTTTTGCAAATGGTATGCTGAAAGACCCTTTAACTCCTTGTTTCCATGATTCCTTTTCACTAATTCTATCATCTATTGGTTCTTTCCTACACATGCACTGTTATCTCTAATCTTACATTTATTTTTATTCGTGTCATTGTTTTTTCCAGCTTTCAGGTGTTGGTGTCAAGCCTGTTGGCAATACAGTGTGGAGTACCCTCTTTCATCAATTCTTGATAGTGATGTCATGTGAGAAATCATTTTTCTTTTTTATTGTTGTTTCCTTTTGATTCTATGATATATGTAAACACTATTTTTCTTTCTTTTTGATCTTATGGGTTTAAGTGCAGGTCGTTTCTAAATTCTGCCTTTGAGTTATTATTGCAAAATTGGGCAACTTCACGTGATCTTAAGGTTTGCAATTGTGAATTACAACATCATTAAAATTACACAACTTGGGACTAAAAAACATAGTAATTTCGGTGTTTCTTTTAATGAAAAATTCTGCTAAAGTGCTAATATTGCTTTTTCTTTAGGTTCGGACATCTGCTGTAGAAGCATTGGGTCAGTTAGTTGGGCTTGTTACAAGAACATTATTGAAGGCATCTTTACCAAAATTTGTTCCAACTATATTGGAATTGTAAGATAGATGATCATTCATATTGATTTTTGATTGAAACATAGTATGATGATCATTCAAAATCTTTGTCATTTATGCAGGTATAAAAGGGATCAAGATATTGTCTTTTTGGCTACATGTAGTCTTCACAATCTATTGAATGCTTCACTCCCTCAAAATGGCTCTCCTTTACTTGATTTTGAGGTTAGTAAGAGTGTAAAAGCACAATCTTTTGATACTTTGTTCTCCATCTAATTCAGAGTTCTAATGAAGTAATCAACAAATCCAATTGCTTTTTCTGATTGTAGAAACATTGCTGGATGCTAATTGTTCAGTGATAAATGTTATATGTTAATTTTTTTTTTTTCAGGATCTCACAGTTGTATTATCAACACTTCTACCAGTTGTTTGTAGTTACACTGACATCAAACAGCGTTCAAATTTCTGTGTTGGCCTCAAGGTGCTTTTTTTATTTTTATTTTTCTTTTCTCAATGATTATACAAATTCAAATATCTGAATTTTCATTGACATGCTGTTCATATATTGCTTTGTAACTGTTTTTACTGCTTTTGTTGCAGACATATAATGAAGTTCAACATTGCTTTCTCACTGTTGGATTGGTGTATCCTGCAGATCTATTTGTTTTTCTTCTAAGCGTGAGTCCCATAGTTTCTTCCTCATATCATAATTACAAAAATAACTTTCTTGATAAACTAACATGTGTCTTTTTATACAGAAATCCAAGTTGAAAGAAGATCAAATGACATTTGGTGCTCTATGTGTTCTAAAGCATCTTTTACCAAGGTTATCTGAAGCTTGGCATAATAAAAGGCCTGCATTAATAGAAGCCATTACAGTGTTATTAGAAGAGCAAAATTTGGGTGTTCGTAAAGCACTTGCAGAAGTATGTTTTTCTTTCAACTTTTACAATATTGTGAGTTCAAATTTTAAAATTTAGATTTTAAACATAACTTTTAACTTTCATTCCTCCTCTTTTTCAGCTAATAGTTGTTATGGCTTCTCACTGTTACTTGATTGGTCCTTCTGGGGAGCTGTTTGTTGAATATCTTGTAAGACATTGTGCCATGTCAGATCAAGAAATTGATGACCTTGTGAGCTTGAGGGACCCATTTAGACCTAGCAATCTTTATTATTCCTTTCAGCAAAAGAGATCTGAGGTTTGTAACTTTGTAATTTGTAATTTGTAATTTGTATTTCATCTATGTGTGATTGTGAATTGTTTGTATAATGTCTAACAAATGGAGTGTGTGTGTGTGTGTTTTTCACTGTTTCTTGAAGGTAAAGATTGGAGCTGTTCGTCCAACAGAGTTAAGAGCAATATGTGAAAAGGGTCTCCTTTTAATAACCATAACTATTCCTGAAATGGAGGTAAAGTAAGTTGAACCTTAATAAATTGTCCAGATTTTCCCTCTTTATGATGAGAATAAACATGTAATCATGTATGACATTGTTTTTTGTTAAAAGGTTTATTTATTTACTTTTTATGTTCCACAATAGCTAAACGGATGTGAATTTTGCAGCATGTTTTGTGGCCATTTATGTTGAAGATGATCATACCTCGTTTATACACTGGTGCAGTTGCCACAGTATGTTGAAATTTCTCTTATATCTCAACATATGATATAAATTATAAGTTTACAATATAGAATAATGAAAAGGTATTTTACAGGTTTGTAGATGCATATCAGATATGTGTAGACATAGAGCTCTTCATAATGATAAAATGATACGTGAATGTAGAACTCGTGTTGATATTCCACGCCCTGAGGTAATTGATTGAATAAAAATGGAAGTGATTAATTGATTGATTGAAATTTGAAAGCAAATGGAAGTGATTTATTGATTGATAAATTGATTGAATGATTGAATGATTGGTTTTTAAATGAACAAATTCAGGAGCTTTTTGCACGTTTAGTGGTGCTTCTTCACAATCCTCTTGCAAGAGAACAACTTGCTACTCAAATTTTAACAGTAAGTTTTTTTTTTTTTTTATTTTTTTTTTTTTTTTTATTTTTTTTTATATGTTTTACTAATAAGAATAGAGAATTACTTTGCTTTTTCATGGGATTTTCAGGTGTTGTGTTACTTGGCTTCACTATTTCCAAAAAACATAAACTTGTTTTGGCAAGATGAGGTACCGAGTTATGTAGTCAATAATCTTTATTTATTTATTTATTTATTTTAATGTGATTGGATTAGTTATGATGCTTTGACCTAACTCTAACTAATATATTGTTTTGGTAAGCTCTAGATTCCAAAAATGAAAGCTTATGTCAGCGACACCGAAGACCTTAAACAAGACCTTAATTATCAAGAAACATGGGATGATATGATAATCAATGTACGTGTCATCACTTCCAAATAGAGATTTTACATTTCATGTCATTAAAAATGTGTTAATATTATTATTATTTTTGCAGTTTCTTGCAGAAACTTTGGATGTTGTTCAAGATACTGATTGGGTCATTTCTCTTGGAAATGCTTTTGCAAAGCAGTATGAGCTTTATACATCTGATGATGAGCATTCTGCACTTCTTCACAGGTATGAACTCATTCTCATTATCATTACTTTCAAAAAAAAAATTAAATTATGTTATTGAGAATATATATATTTTTTTCCTACAGATGTCTTGGTATACTTCTTCAGAAAGTTGATAACAGGACTTATGTTCGTGATAAAATTGACTGGATGTACAAACAAGCAAATATCACCATTCCTGAAAATCGACTTGGTTTGGCTAAAGCCATGGGATTGGTATGTATGGAATTACCAAATTACCCCTGTGAATTAAATTAAATCCATGTCAATTCCTTGCAGGTTGCAGCATCCCACTTGGATACTGTTTTAGATAAACTTAAAGACATTCTTGACAACATTGGAGAAAGTGTTCTCCAGAGGTATATTTATATATATTATTCTTATTTACTTTTTATTGTTTATGCTGATTTTATCTTTAGTCTTGACAATAAAAGACTGTTTGAAATGCAGATTTCTATCCTTCTTCTCAGATAAAACTAAGATTAAAGATTCTGATGACATTCATGCTGCATTAGCTCTCATGTATGGATATGCTGCAAGATATGCTCCTTCAACTGTAATTGAAGCCAGAATAGATGCACTTGTGGTAACATTAAAAACTTCAAATAAATGTCTTCATTTTGTGTCTTTCATGTATTCTTTCAAATTTTCTCATGGAATTATGTGCTTCTTTTTTTTAGGGCACTAATATGTTATCACATCTTCTTATTGTAAGACACCCTAGTGCAAAACAAGCTGTTATCACTGCTATCGACTTACTAGGTTAGTATATTATAGAAAGTTTTTACAAATATGTTACTTGTTTTAAATTTTTTTTTTTTTTTTAAAAAAAAAAAATCTTGTTTATGTTCTTTAGGGCGTGCTGTTATTAATGCTGCTGAAAGTGGAATTTCATTCCCATTGAAAAAAAGAGACCAGTTGCTTGACTACATACTAACCCTAATGCGTAGACATGATGAAGAAGGCTTTTCTGATTTAAGTGTTGAGCTTTTACACACTCAGGTTTTTAATTTTAATTTAATAATTTATAAATTACAATCACTCTGAAGAATCATTTCAATGTTTATTCATTTGTTTTTGTTACATGTATTTTAGGCCCTTGCTTTAAGTGCTTGCACTACTTTAGTATCTGTGGATCCAAAGTTAACAACCGAAATGCGAAATATTGTCATGAAGGTGACATTTAAATTTTTTTTTTTTTTTTTTAAAATTTTTAATTTTCTAGTCTACTTATTCAATTTTTTTATTCCTTTACAGGCAACATTGGGATTCTTTTCTTTACCTAATGATCCAGCTGGAGCTGTGAATCCTCTTATTGACAATCTCATCACTCTTTTATGTGCAATTCTTCTCACAAGGTATTCATGTTGTTAACACTTTACATAAAACTCTACAACATTATATATATATATATTTTTTATATTTTATAGTGGGGAAGATGGAAGAAGTCGTGCAGAGCAACTTTTACATATCTTGAAACAAATCGATCACATTGTCTCTTCACCTCTTGATTACCAAAGAAAAAGAGGATGCAATGCAGTTTATGAAATGCTTCTCAAATTTCGTACCCTTTGTGTCACTGGCAACTCAAAGTCAAATGTTTCAAATTTACCATGTAAGTTTATATTTTATAAAAATGTTTCACTTTCTATAAATGAATTATGATTTATGGATATGGAATTGCAGCTGCTTTTCTTTTGCCAAGTAGAGATGCATTGTGTTTGGGAGATAGAGTGATAGTGTATCTTCCACGTTGTGCTGATACAAATTCTCAAGTTAGAAAAGTTTCTGCTCAGGTATTTAAAAGTTTTTACTAAATGTTTTTAAAAAAATTTATAAAATCTTGTATTGTTCTTTTACCTTTATTTACTCCATGCAGATTTTAGACCAGTTTTTTGATATATCTCTATCTCTCCCAAGACATGTTGCTTCTAGTTACACCACACCTGTTGAATCTTCCTATGCTGCTTTGTCATCTCTCGAGGACGTTATTGCCATTTTGAAAAAAGTAACCTTTAACACAATATTACAATAATACAATAATACAATGCCCTGATTTTTTTCTATAAAAATTACTCATATGTTGTTTTTACTTTGTGTGATTAGGACACGTCTATTGATCCTTCAGAAGTGTTTAATCGTGTCATTTCATCTGTTTGTGTTTTGTTAACAAAAGATGAGGTAAGACTGTTTGACTTTTCATATGAAATTTATTTGAGTGTTAATTATTAATATATATATTTTTTTTGTTGGAAATTTGATAAAACAGTTGGTGGCTACTCTCAATGGTTGTTCTGTAGCTATATGTGATAGAGTTAAGCCCTCAGCAGAAGGTGGTATACAAGCAGTCATTGAGTTTGTTACAAAAAGAGGAAATGAGCTTAATGAAACTGATATCTCAAGGTCATTTTTGTCATTTTATGTTGTTACACATTTCATTGATCAGTTATATTGACATTTGTGTTTTTCTTCAGAACTGCTCAATCTTTGCTTTCTGCTACAGTTCATGTGTCTGAGAAATACTTACGCCATGAAACACTTGTTGCTGTATCCTTTCAAATAATCTAACTTTTTATTTTTTTATAAGTATTTCATTTATTATTATTGTTTTCTTTGACTTTTATTTAAAAAAAATAAATAAAGATATCTTGTCTAGCTGAACATACAAGTCCTAGAGTTGTATTCAATGAAGTATTAACAGCTGCTGCAAGAGATATAGTAACAAAAGATATACTAAGAATGCCAGGTGGCTGGCCTATGCAGGATGCATTTTATGTAAGTATCCATCAAGTTATACGATTCACATTTACATATTTACTTATATACCCCTGAAATTTACAGGCTTTTTCACAACATAATGAACTTTCATCATTATTTCTGGAGCATTTAATATCCACCTTAAGCCACACTAAAACTGACATATCAAAAGGAGACCTTTCTGGAGATTCTGTTCACACACGCACTGAAGATGAGATCCTTCAAGCTGCCATTGTTGCTTTAACTGCATTTTTCAGGTCTTTTTCTGTAATTTAATTATTGATAAAGTTAAATTGATTTGATATTTACATTTTACATTTACTACAGAGGAGGGGGTAAAATTGGAAAAAGAGCAGTTGAACAAAATTACGCCTCTGTTACAGCTATACTTACTCTTCATTTAGGAAGCTGTCACAGCCAATCTCTTTCTATCCAACATGAACAGCTTCGGTAATTAATTAATCTGTTTGTGTTACTTTTAATTTTCATAATAACTTTAAAATATTTAAAACTGAGGTTGAAATTTGAATTTGCTTTTATATGGTCATGTTAAATTGCAGTATACTTCTGATATCATTTCAAGCATTTTGTGAATGTGTTGGGGATCTTGAAATGGGAAAGGTAGTATTTTCTTGTTTTGATACATACATATATATTTTTTTTTTATGGATTTAAATGAATAAATAAAGAAATAAATAAATATCCAACATTGGTGTAAAGATTTTGGCTAGAGATGGAGAACACATTGTTGATGAAAAGTGGATTGAACTTATTGGTGCTTTGGCTGGATGTATTTCAATAAAAAGACCTAAAGAGGTAAACTTGTATTTTCTTTTTTTTTTTTTATTTTTTTATTTTCAAAAAAGCTTTTCTTATTTCTTATTTCCTTTTAATTTATTCAGGTTTCAGCAATATCAGTTATTTTAAGTAAATACCTAAATCAACCTGTGAGATTCCAGAGAGAAGCTGCAGCAGCAGCATTATCAGAATTTGTACGTCACAGGTATGTTTTAAGTTTTAAGTTTTAAATAATTTTTGTTAATAATATATATTTTTATATTTTATATTTAATGATTCTTATTTGTGAATACAGCAATGAAGGATCTGGTTCAGTATTGGAGGAAATAGTAGAAGCATTATGTAGACATGTGTCAGATGATTCTCCAATGGTCAGGCGTTTATGTCTAAGAGGACTTGTCCAGGTCATACATCTTACAATTCTTATTTACATTTTTTTTAAATTTATTAAATCATACATTTTTTTTTACAAAGTTTTTATTTTTTATAATATGTTGTTGCAGATACCACCTATTCATATTAATACACACACAAAAGAAATCCTTGGTGTAATATTGGCATTGCTTGATGACTCAGATGAATCAGTTCAATTGACTGCAGTCTTATGCTTACTTTCGGTATATTATTTAATAATTACAACAATTGTTTATTTATTTTTTTTTTTATAAACTTGAATATTTATATTTTAATAAATGTTACAGATTCTTGAGTCATCACCAAATGGTGTGGAGCATGTTCTACTTAATTTGTGTGTGCGCCTTCGCAATCTTCAGGTGAAGTATTCAATATAATAAAAATAGTAAAAATACCATTCAATTTAATTAATTTTTTTTTTAAAAAATATATTAAAAGTAATTTATTATGTCTTTAAACAGGTCTCCATGGACACTAAGATGAGAGCAAATGCTTTTGCAGCATTTGGAGCATTAAGTCAATATGGTTCTGGGGCACAACGTGACTCTTTTCTTGAACAGGTTTTTTTTTTCTCAATGATTATTTATTTATTTATTTTTAAAATTTCTTAATTACTTTTTTATAAACTACTTTTTTAGGTACATGCTGTGTTGCCACGATTGATTCTTCATCTTCTTGATGAGGAATATTCCGTCAGACAAGCTTGTCGGGTAATTATCCTCCGCATCTCATCTCATCTCATCTCTTCTCTTTATTTATTTGATAATTTTATAAAATTACTAAACAGAATACTATGAAAGGGGTAGCTCCCCTCATGGAAATAGACGATTTAATCCCTCTACTCAACACTCAACGCTTTACTTCTGATCACAGGTATATTCTATAGTAATTTCATATATTTCATGGTTTTGACACTTTTACGATTTTACCCTTTTTCAGAAGTGATTATCAAGATTTCCTTAGAGATCTGGCCAGACTACTCGTTCAGCATCTGACTTCCAGAGTTGATACTTACATGTCATCAATAATTCAGGTCTTTCAAAAATTTAAATCCTGTCATCAGCAAGTATAAAAAATTTAATCAATGTATTGAAGAAATATAAAATTTTGGTTTTTTATTATTGTTTAGGCTTTTGATGCTCCATGGCCTGCTATCCAAGCAAATGCCATTTATTTATCCAGCAGCATGCTTGCTTTGACAGATGATCAACACATTTCATCTTCTTATTATTATCAGGCAACAACTTTTTCTTATTTAACTTGTTTATTATTAACCAATTTTACAGAAACATGTTAAAAACACAGTTATAAAAAAAAGTATACTGGTAACTTAAAGATAGTTAAATCATGTATGTACTTTTCAGAATCTTATTATTATATTATATTAGCTAGTGACTTTTTAATAATGATAATTAAAAAAAATGATTGTATTATTGTATAAAATGACAGGTGTTTGGGTTATTGGTGGGGAAAGCAAGTCGTTCAACAGATGCAATTGTAAGGGCAACATGTTCATCAGCACTTGGAATGTTATTAAAATCTGGAAATTGGGTTTCATGGAGAGCTGAAAGACTTTTTGATCATATAGAATCTGGGAGGAGCAGTTACAGTATCGATTCAGAATCATCTAGTAGAAAGTAAAAAAAACTTTTCTGTAAAGAGTAGTAGTGCTCAATTTCTTTGTCTTTGTGTTTGTGCATATATATACCTCAGAGTGAGAGAGAGAGAGAGAGAGAGAGAGTAGAACAATTGCTAGATTTGTATAGCTGTGTGTTTTCTTTTATTTATTTATAGATTTTTATGTTGTAATTTTGTATAATTTAACTTCATACACTCAAGATTTTCATGGTGCAAACAAGTTGAATGGTTTCATATTGGGTTTTAGGACCACTACTTGGCTTTGCTTGCAAGTTGAAATCTCAATGGCGTCTACATTCATGCATTTAATAATTCAGTTTGTTTTTTCCTTGCCCTCAGTTGGCTTTTTCTCAAGCGGATCAATACTTCTCTTTCTATAGAGTTGCCCCCACAATGTTGAACTCATTGAATACAAAATCAATGATCAATGATTTTGGTGTTGATTCATGCCTCAAAGCCGCTCTCCTCTATTCTCTATTCCGTTGTTAAGACTTAAGACACACACATGAGTTGAGTCCTGCCAAGTTCGAAACTCGATTCCACTGAAAAACTTAGGCTTGAAACTTTACTTAAGCTTGATTCAAGCCTCAATTTCAAACTTGAGCTCGAGCTTGATAAAATAATCGACAATTTTGAGCCTGGCTTGACTAATTATTATAAAGATAAATTTAAATTAAGTTGAAATAGATATATGATTAAGCTTATGAGTTCGATTCAGAGAGTGTTTGACATTACTTTTAAAATGACTTTTTGGAATTTTAACTTTTTGGAAAAGTTAAAAATGTCCGAAAGATGTTTGATAAAGTTTTCTTAAACAACAAAAAATGGTTTTTCAAAAGTAATGAAATTATGTCTTTTTGTGATTTTTAGCTTTTGTCATTTAAAAGTCAACCCAAGTACATATTAAAAACTTTCTTTTAGAAAAAGTTATTTTACAAAAAGTATTTTTATAAAAAGGTCTTTTAAGTTTAAAAAGTAATCCCAAATATACCCTTAATTATGTAAAATATAAATAAAATAAAGGGTAAAAGTATAAATATAACTAAGCTCGATTAAACTTATGAGCTTCACGAATGAGTATTTCAATACTTGAGCTTGAGCTCGACTCGACTTGAACTGCATCGATTTCAAATATTTTTTGACTCGATTTCAAATATCTCACTATCTGGCTCGACTTAATTACACCCATACTATATATGAACTTCCTTGACGTCCTAGAAAAACTATAAGCATCAAGCCTTTGCTTCCGTTTCCTAAAAATTATACCACATCAACTATGAATACAACTCACCCTCATTCATCCTCGTCATGGGACTCATTGCCACTTAATTCTCCCTATGACTTCCTTACAACTTCTTACAATGATACCAACCCTAATTTCGAGTATGCATACTACACTCACACCGAATTTGCCATCCTTCACACTATATAACCACATAACCATTTCATATCTCTCTCCCATACCCTTGTCAACCTCTCATCTCCTAAAGCACTTTGTATTATGAGTCATATTGGTGGCCACTCGCTTATCATTCTTATTGATTTTAGAGGCAGTTATAATATCGTCGAACCTTGAATTGCCTCCCTTCCTCTCGATTGTACCAATCCCTCATTTATAGTATTGATCGACAATGGATCCAATCTCCATTCTGATGGACCTTTTCTAGATGTCACCCTCCACCTTAACAAAGCGCCTTTCACTGTTCCCTTCTTTGTACTCCAAATCAAAGGTGTAAACATCATATTATGAATGGTGTGGCTAGTTTATGGTGTGAAACAATCGTAAATGACTGAATGGTGATGAGGATTAAGGTGTTATATGTGTCACTGGTTCGATACACACAAGGTAGACAACTACTATGAATTATTCCTTATATTTTTTGACATCTCCTTTGGGCTTTACACTCTCCACTTTTCAAGCCACAATGAACGATTTATTTCTCGATGTAATATAATGCTTTGTGCTAGTATTTTTTGATGATATATTAATCTGCAACCCTTTTTGCAAAAAAAAAAACATTACAAGCACCTACAATAGGTACTATCATGAAACCACCCCACTCTAAACTCAAATACATTTGGATGTACCGGATGATCCCTATGCAACTCCTTCGCTCTTACACCCCTTCCACAAACCTTTGCCACATGAGCCTTTGCTAACATACCATTAGCAACCACATTCCCCTAATCTTAGACTTCACCCCATACATCTTATACCCTATTTACACTCATCTACCCTTGCCACCAAACTTGGTCCCACCATATAATGCCCTTCTATCACTAACCTATGAATTGTGAAATGGTGTCTTTGATGGCTAAATTATGCAAAAGGCTAATAGTCTAAAACAAATGTGACTCTAGGCATACGTGGTCAGGGTGCAAACCTTAATTTTTTTTTTTGGGTTTGTACCATATTTAAGCATCCTTAAGTCCTAAGTCATCCTTCTTTCATCATCCTCCAGCCCCAACTTCGACCCTTCCAAACCCTAATTCATTTGAAGCATTCTTGAGCCATTTATGGGTGTTTTGGTGTGCATAGAGGAAGAGAGAACAACTTAGAAGCTTGGAACAACCTTGGATCTGGAAGCTTTACACCATCCTACATCTCTGGAAGGTATAAAGTTCATACCTTGATGCTTATTTGGATAAATCTAGCTTATGTAGTGTTATTATGTGCTTCTGTCCCTAATCAATGTTTTCCTTGAGTATGACATGCTCTAGATCCATTCAAGATGCCCTTTTAGACGCTTTGGAGCATTTTGAAACATACAAATATAATCTTGATTGTTAGTTTCCTTCCATGCATGAGTTTCATTAAGTAGTTAGGGTTTTCATGATTGGGCACTTATTAGCCGTGCAAGACCATAAAGTTGGAAACTTTATGGTTAAAAACGTTAGTTTAGGGTTGGATCTGGAATTTGAGCAAAGGAGCTTAATGGATACGCTCTTAATGAAAGGATTGAGTACTAAGTCAACCAGCTTGTAATTGGGTCAACACTTGTGTATGCTGGGCATACTCAGCTGTGTTGACCAAGTTTGACTTTTGACTTTTCCAACATTGACCATGATTTGACCAAGTTTGACCTAAGGGTATTTTGAGTTGTGTTTGAGATTGGTCAATATTTGATGTTTAGGTGATAGGTAGAGATGATATTTTGAGTAGGAGCCTATTCAACTATTTGTTCGGACTAAGAGGTGAGTTTTCCTCACTGTACATACGGGTTGAAGCACCAAGGCCGACCCATTAGATTGATATCCTGGTTTACTGTAAGCTGTTATGCTCTAGTGATCTGTTAGATCTATATCCTCATATATAGGATATTGTTATGCCGTAGTGATTTGTTAGATCTGTATCCTAGTATATAGGATGTTGCTATGCTATAATGATCTGTTAAATCTGTATGACTACCTATATATGCTAGTTATTGATTGTTGTGGTATATGTTGATATGTGATAATTTACTAGGTTAAGGTAGAGATGACCAAAAAAACCGGTTCACAAACCGAACCGGTCAGTGAACCGGAAACCGGTTTACCTCCGAACCGGTTAAGGCATGAACCCCCGAAGAACCGAACCTCCGGACCGAACCAATTCACCCTTTTGACTGTGTGATCCGGTTTCGAACCGGTTTGTTAAGAACCGGTTTTTTGAACCGATGGATAATCCGATTTTGAACCGGTTTTGAACCAGTTTTTTGCATATTACCGTTTTTTTGTCTTATTCTAACGACTATATAGCCGTTTATGGCTGTTAGATACTTGTTTTTTGGTCCCTTTTGGCCATATTCCCCAATATTTGATAGTATAAATATCTATTACATGTTTTGGGTTAACCAAACCTCAAAAAACCTCTCTTACTTCAAAAAACGCTCTTAATTCAAACAATGGATTCGGCTTCCGTTGGTATTGGAGACTCATCAAACAATCTTACCGTTGTTAGCATCAAAGAAACAAATAGAAATCCGGCTATTTGGTGCAACTATGATTTGTGTGTAATGTCGAACGGTATAAAAAGAGCGCGATGCAAGAAATGTGGTGCTTTTTTTAATGAAGAAGGGAATTCGACATTGAAAACTCATATGACAAAAAGATGCCCCGCGGTGAAATTTGGGCCGGGTCATAATCAAACAACAATGGCGAATGATGCAACATTGTGGAGTTACGATTTGAGTAAAGTTCGGGATAGGATGGCGAAGTTCGTGATTCAAGAATGTTTGCCTTTTGACCACTTCGACAACAAACGATTGACTTCACTCATCCAAGATACTCTCCAACCACGATATTGCCATGTGAGTCGTACTTCTATTAGACGTGATTGTATTGAAATGTGGCAACTTGCAAAAAATGAATTGATTTTAGGATTTCAATCTTTAGAAACCGGTGTGAATTTAACTTGTGATGTTTGGACGGCTCCTCACGGTTCACCGGATGCGTACCTTTGTGTTACCGCTCATTGGATTAATCCAACTAATTGGGTAATGATGAAGCGTACGATTACGTTTGAATTGTTTGAGTACCCGCACACCGGTAGAAATTTATTTAAAATTTTAGATTGTGTGATCAAAACTTATAAACTTGAAGGAAAGATTTTTTCTATATCTTTTGATAATGCTTCAAACAACACCGTCGCGGTTGGACAACTAAAACTAAAATATAAACCAATTTGCGATGGTGTTTTTTTTCATAGTCGATGTGTTGCACATATCATTAATTTGGTTGTGCAAGATGGACTAACTAGCATTGAAACTATAAAAGATGGTTTCAAAGACATGCTAAAAGATATTTTTAGTTCTAGTAACGCTCGATATCATAATTATATGCAATTTTGTGTCGATGCGAATGCCCTCTTTTTAGGTCCGAATTGGGAAAATAATACCCGATGGAACTCCACTTGCAAAATGTTGAATGTGCCTTACGTCAAAAAGATACTTTAAAAATGTTCCATGACAACCTTGCGGACCGTAATAAGGTTACGGCTTATCCGGAATCAAGTTGGGATACTATCAAACTTGTTACGGACATGCTTGATGTTTTTAAAAAAACAACTACTTTTTTTATCGGGTGTTTATTATCCTACAAGTTGTTTAGTTTTAAACCAAATTTTTTTAATGTGTGCGAAAATAAATGAGTTTGAAATGAGGAGCACAATGTTTGCTAATATGATGAAACCGATGAAAGCAAAGTTAAAAAAATATTTTCAAGAAATGCCTCCCATTATTACTTGTTCCGCCGCTTTGAATCCGGCTCTAAATGTTGGGGGGGGGGGGGTTGAGACTTTAATTGAAAATATTTGTTACGATTTGGGTTTAATGGATGATGACATGGATTATGCATCAAAGGAAGTTTCAAAATTTAACAAAGTTTTTCAAAATTTGTTTGAAGTTTATTTAACAAAATATGGTTCAACAAACATTCATGACATGATGCAAAATACGGGGGCATCCGGATCCACTTCTCACCAAAATAACGAAACAATTAGGCTTTATAATACTTTGAGGAATGAAAATTCCAAACGAGCTCGGTCTAACACCCCAAGTAGCGAGATCAGGAGGTACATTGGTTTCGATTTCTTGTCTCAAATGAGTATTCAAGAGTTTGAAAATTTTGATATCTTGGCTTGGTGGAAAGGAAAGGAAACCCAATTTCCGATTCTAGCCGCTATGGCCCGTGATCTACTAAGCTCCCAAGCTTCTACGGTAGCTTCGGAATCGGCTTTTTCTGTTAGTGGCAGGGTAATATCACCAAGAAGAAACAAAACTAACCCCTTTGTCGGTGGAAGTGTGCATTTGCTTGAAATGCTACCTTGATGGCGTGGAAAGGATACAAGACATTGAACTACTAGAAGGCACATCGTTGCATGCCGAACCACAAATACATGAGGAAGAAGTAGCGATGAGAATGTCGGTGCTACTCACCCTAGAAGAGATCGAGTATGAGAGAGGATTACGCAACGACATGGCGGATGACGAATAAAAAAACAAAAACAAAAAATATTTGGATGTTTTGTGTTTTTATGTTTGAAGATGTATTAGTTTGACAATTTGGATGTTTTGTGTTTTTATGTTTGAAGTTGTATTATGTATTTCCAATATAAAAAAAAAAAAAAAAAAAAAAAAAAATAGGTTGAAAATTGCTCCAAAAAATGTGTTGATTCAAGTTGAACAATTTTTTACATACATTATGTTTTTCTACATATACACAAACATAAAATTTAAAACCAGAATAAAAGTTAATACATGAAAAGATATGTATATTATTAAACAAGAAAAAACTTTTGGACATGGTCCATAACTCTCCATATGGACGTGTATATGTAAAGCTTATAAGCCTTTGCCTTCCCAATCACCCAAACCACCTACTGTGAAGCCAAAAAAATATATGGTTTAAGACAATTTAGAGCTTTATACTCTAAACAAAAAAAAACCCATTCCTATTTTACACTTATTAGCCCAAAAACAAAAAAAAAAAATTAGAAAACCTTATTTGCGTCGAACCGGTTTTAATATGTTCGGATATTTTTGGGTGTGAACCGGTTTGGAACCGAACCGGTTTTGGTGTGAACCGGTTTTGACTTGTTGGACTTGAACCGAACCGGTTTTCTGAACCGGTACGGTTCATAAAAAAAACCGGTTTTTGCATGCCTAGGTTAAGGCGGACCGGCTGAGACTAAAGGCCAAAACACCCAAGGCAGTCTGGATAGACTAAAGGCCTATGAGATGGACCAGGCCAAAAGCCCAGAGAGTGGTACAGATAGGCTGAAGGCCTAGTGGGGCAGTCTAGTCACGCTGAAGGCTCATATATGCATGCTGTTGTTGTTATGTCGTGTGGTGGTACTTTAGGGAAACTCTCTAGGCTTTGTACTTATGGTTTTCAGTTTATTGTTTCAGGTACTTTAGAGGGTCGTGGGAAGGTAAAGGCGTAATTATGCACATCTTCCTGTTTTTATAACATTGGATCTTGGGATACTCTAATTTTGAATAATACTTTTGAAATATTGGTTTTGTCACACTTTATGAAAGAAATAGTTTGTTTTTGAAAAGTTCAAATTTATTGTGATTTTTGGGATGTAACATTTATATACATAATGGAGAAAAAGGAAGCTAATTGGCTGGAAACAGAGCTGGATCGGAAGAAGATGAAACATATGTTGAAAATTCTACACATTATAGAAACATGCTATGTATCCGTGACATGATAACTTGGAGGGAACATGACAAATGCTTATTCGACAACACGACTTTTACATTGTTATGCCGTGTCTTTTGCAAATCTATAAATAGCATCAAAATTTTGACACAATGATATATATGGAAATCCAACACAATCTGGTCGAAAATTAACCTACAAGACACTATTTTGAGGGTCTAAAAGGTGGCCGGATGGCAATTACGGTGATGGCGACCAAATTTTGTAGCGAAAGATTAGTATAATTTAGAAGAATGATGACCAATTTTTGTAAGTATCAGCTTCCATGTCCATCACTAGATTTAAAATGTGACAATATGAATTCCGTCGAGGGTCTACACTATTTTTAAAATAGAAAAATCGTTGCTCTAAATTTCGTAGGTATTGATCGCTTTGTTCTAGTGGTGATATATTCTTATGCTCTTGTTTAGTGAAAAGTGTTCAACTCAAATGTTTGGAAATTATTTCGTTTATCACCACAAATGTTGCATTATCTCTCTTTTGGGTATGAGTGCCATGGCCTATTCACCTTTCTAGATTGAACCATGTGTGATCAAGATTATAGGCATTTCAGTATACATTTCCTGCACTTCTCTCTAAAGCAGGCTGGCGGTGTCGTTGTAGCCACGCATTCTTTTGATAACATGTGATGACTACACAAAACTGCCAAACTTTTCTTGTTTTATACAAATTGTTTGTAATGGTAGCTGCTGCTTTGATCTTTTTCCTTTTCACATAAAGCTCTTGACTTTGTGGGTTTTATATGTTATTTAAGAGAACACCTCTTCTGCAAATTCGTCATAGAAACAAACAAACACAGAAGCTTTCAATTCCCAGTTCAAAGTTCAATGAAAATGGTTGCACCTGTGACTGACTTTCATGTCGTCATGTTCCCTCTAATGGCTCAAGGCCATATGGTACCCATGGTGGATATTGCCCGAATACTAGCCCTTCGTGGGGCCATGGTGACAATATTCACCACTCCTCTTGTTGCCAATCGATTTAGACAAGTTATTGAACGAGCAAACGAATCCAAGCTCATGATCAAGTTACTTGAACTCCACCTCCAATTAGCAGAAGTCGGTTTACCCGAAGGATGCGAGAGCTTTGACACACTTCCCTCGTTTGAGTCTTCCAATAAACTATTCGCAGCTATCAACTTGTTAGAACAACCAGCGGAAAATCTTCTCCGGGAACTTTCTCCTCCTCCATCTTGCATAATCTCAGACTTTTGTTTTCCCTGGACCGGAGACGTGGCTCAGAGGCTTAACATTCCTCGCCTCGTGTTCCATGGACCCGGATGCTTCTGGCTCTTGTCCATGCACGTTGTCTTAACTTCTAAAATGTTAGACACGATTGAATCGAACTCAGAACGCTTTGTTCTGAGTGGCCTCCCTGACCGAGTTGAGTTCACTAAACCTCAGCTTACTGGTTCCTTCAAAGCCAGGACAGCAGACCAAATGGAGTTCTGGAGTCGTGCTGCAGCAGCGGAAAAAACAGCATACGGGATCGTGGTTCACACTTTCGAGGAGTTAGAACCTGCGTACGTTAAGGAATTAAAAAAGGCAAAAGATGCCAAGATATGGTGTATAGGCCCTGTTTCTCTATGTAACAAAGATAACACGGATATAGCAGAGAGAGGAAACAAGGCTACGATCAACGAGCATGACTGCTTGAAATGGCTTGATGCAAGGGAACCTGGGTCGGTGGTCTACGTTTGCTTGGGAAGTCTTACACGTGCTTCTACACAGCAGTCGATCGAACTTGGGCTAGGACTAGAGTCCACGAACCAGCCCTTCATATGGTGCGTAAGAGACAAAACCGAAGAACTGGAGAAATGGTTTTCAGAAGAAGGTTTTGAAGAAAGGGTGAGAGACCGAGGGTTGGTAGTCCATGGTTGGGCACCACAAGTGTTGATATTGTCACATCGAGCAGTTGGTGGTTTCTTGACACACTGTGGATGGAATTCTACTCTCGAAGCAGTCTGTGCAGGTGTGCAAATGGTTACATGGCCGCATTTTGCTGACCAGTTTATTAACGAAGCATTCATCGTAGAGATTCTGAAGATTGGGGTTAGGATTGGTGTGGATATTCCTGTTCCTTTTGGGGAAGAAGATAAGATGGAAGTGTTGGTGAAGAAGGAAGACGTGAAGAGGGCTGTGGAGTGTTTAATGGATGAAGGCGAAGAAGGAAAAGATCAGAGAAGGAAGAGGGCGAGTGAGCTTGCGGAAATGGCGAAGAGAGCAATGGAGGAAGGAGGATCTTCTTATGTCAACGTATCATCGTTGGTTCAGGATCTAACAGATATGCAACTCAAAACCAGATGAAAGTAGAAAACTATTACTCCAAACGTATTTTTATGTCTTGGTGTATGATATCTTTATTTATAGATTGTTACGTATCAATAAGTGGCTGTTAAAAAAAAAGAAGATTGTTAGGTATCAGTTGAAATTTTGTGGGGGTGAATTTCATAGATTTAATTGACAAGGCAAATCAGTTACATGTCCAAGTTTTTTTTTTTTTTTTTTTTTTTTTTAATAGTATCTTTAGTGTAAATTACCACCACGTTGTGAAAAGGTATTCACAGGTGGGTTGGTGGTGATAAGGCAAAAGAAAGAGAGAGATAAAGAGATACGATGTTGCTGCTAATATTCCACTGGCTGTCTTCTTCCGTCTTCAAAAAGACGTCACACCCAAACCACCGGGACTAGGAGCGGTGTTCACGTTTCCTTGACCCCTCCACCTCAACTTTTCACGCATGAAGACGTATCCATTCCGGATAGTCTTATGGAGTTTTGATTTTTGTCCTGTCTTTTCAAGACTTTTCGCTACTCTAATTAAATTAATTAAAACGATTAGACCAAGGGTGTAAGGGTGTATTCCTTACCATTTGTAATTTTCTATTCTACTACCAGTTTTATATACACTCATCACAAACAAGAAATGGTTATTTTTCACTTCTCTTTGTTTTATTTATTATACTTTATTTGTAGAGAATTAAAAACAATAAATTTTAATATATTTTTTTATAATTTATATATATATATATATATATATATATATATATATATATATTAAAAGTTAAAGAAAATACAAAACGGACACTGATATATATATATATATATATATATATATATATATATATATATATATATATATATATATATATATATATATATATATATATATATTAAAAGTTAAAGAAAATACAAAACTGACACTGATCAATCACATAAGAAGAAAAAAGACATGGTACCATCCTCTCACTCTTTCCTCGCACTGCCTAAACCGTACCTAGGGTGTGGTGTTCCTAGATGCAAATCCCATTTCCCCTCATTTTTTCCGCTCTATTCTTTCCGACCTTAAGGTTATAATAGAGAAATAGAGTGTTTTATCATTGATCATAACAATGTTTTGATTTACTTTTTACTCTTAAGAATGTTTTATCACATATCAACATCAAGTATATAATCTTATTTACATAAATTGATTTACCTTTTTTAATAAGGTTTATTTGAGTTAAAATTATACCATAAAAGTGTTTTATTAGTGTTCATGGGAGCGCATTGGAAGAACTTTGTGGGGATGAAGAATTTTCCTGAAAAGGAGATTAATGTCCAACTGTCATGACCAATCGTATTGGAACTGTATTTGCTTCAATGTTGGTATGTAATTTTGTTATGATTTTATAAAAGTTCATTTTTTTACCCATTTATTTATCAAATATAAGGGTAATAATAGTAACGTATTTATATTTACTTTCATATAACAACTTAGTTTAATCTATAATAATGTGTATATATATATATATATATATATATATATATATATATATATATATATATATATATATATATATATATATATATATATATTTATTATGTGTAAAGAAAATGTAAGTACATTGTTCTTACGAGTTACATATTGCTATTATTGTTGAAAAATGTGAGCATGTTGTTATTATGAGTAAATAAATGGAACTGTGAGTAAAAAAATAAAGTACATTGTCTATATTTATAAAAAGAGTACATTGATATTTCTTACAATTTACCCTAAATATAAACATAACAATTACAATTTGGTCATATTTGTTCAGGAGTTCTCATTTGTACGTTACCGAGCTGCCAAATCAGTTGACCCCAGTAATATATTTCTCATTTTAATTATACCTTTCTGTCATATAATCATATATTTCTCATTTTCTGCTCTAACCCTCCAGTATACCGACAACAACGATGCATGCTTAATTATAAATGATTATATGACAGAGATGTATAATTATATATGATTATACTTGTTTATACATATATGCATAATCATAAATGATTATATATATGTTTCTTCATAGATTGAGTAATCATATATGATTATGGTGGCTGGTTGCAGATGAAGTGGTGGTGGCAGAGGTGGCGGTAGTATAGGTAACAGAGGTGGCGGTGGTGCGGTCGGTTGATGGTGAAGGTTATGGTAGTAGTGGCAACGATGACAGTTTTGATGTTGGGGAAAAAAGATCAGACGAAACTGAATAATCATTTATATTATAGCTTTCCCACCACACTGATACGTTGGAGCGTTAGAGCAGCAAATGACAAATGGTTGAGATCGAATCTTAAGATCTCCACTTTTTTGGAATCTCAACGGAACACACACACACACACATATATATATATATATATATATATATATATATATATATATATTAAATTAAAAATAATTAAAAAATACCATCTAATTTCACTATGTAAAACCTACTGTCATTTAAATACTTTCATATTTCAAGCCCTCAATCTAAAAGCAATTATGATATAAATTAAAAGAAATTACTGTAAGCGATTTAATTAGATTTAAGAAAGCTAGACTTTTACCTCATATCAACAAATAAGTCAAATCAAATAGGGAAGAAAGTGATAGAGGATCCTTGAGACTATGGTTTCTCTTTCAACAGAAGAGGACATCGTTGTAACAATACTTTTTTTTTTTTTTTATTTTTTTTTTCCAGAAGGGATATATACAGTAAAGTCACAATATTTTCATCGATTTGATAAGAAAGTCATAAACTTTATTTTTTTGATAGTAAAATCCAAATTACCGGCAGTTTTTGACACTTTTACCCTTTTTCCCGGCTAGCCGGTAATTAGGACTTTTTTGTCAACAAAAATAAAGTTTAAGACTTTATTCTCAAATCGTCAATTAGGACTTTACTATAAAAAAAAAAAAAATAAAGTTTATGACTTTTTTTGTCAAATAGTTGAAAATATTGGGACTTTATTGTATATATAATTTTTTTGGTTAGAAATTTAATGGTATGATACTCTCTAAGCATAAGAGTTATTGAAACCTTCTCTAAACAGCTAGATCATATTGAAATCCTTTACATTTACTTTTTGTTAAATAGTTTTTTTAATCTCAACAAACCGATATTGAAAAAAATTAAGATACAAGAAAGAAAGAAAGAACTAGGGTTGTGTTGGTTTTTTGCAGTCTCAAAAATGGAGAAATTAGAAACCTAAAAAAGTGAAATTGCCTTGGCTTTATAAAAACACAAACAACACATACCTAGTCAAAAGGGTGTGAATGTGGAGAAGGGAAAGAAGGGCAATTTAGTTTTTTTCGGTTTTTTATTTCTCCATTTTTGGGGCTGCAAAAAGCCAACACAACCACGGTTCTTTCTTTATTTCTTTCTTGATTATCTCAATTTTTTTCAATGTCGGTTTATTGAGATTAAAAAAACGATTTAGCAAGAAGCAAACGTTAAAGATTTCAATAGGATCTAGCAAATTAGAGAAGGTTTCAATAACTCTTATGCTTAAAGAGTATCATATCATTAAATTTCTAATAAAAAAAATTACATATACACTAAAGTCCCAGTATTTTCAACGATTTGACAAAAAAAGTCATAAACTTTATTTTTTTGACAGTAAAGTCCTAATTGACGATTTGACAAGAAAGTCCTAACTTTATTTTTTTGACAAAAAAGTCCTAGTTACCGACTAACCGGAAAAAAGAGTAAAAATGTCAAAAACTGCCGGTAATTTGGACTTTACTATAAAAAAATAAAGTTTAAAACTTTCTTGTCAAATCGATGAAAATATTGGGACTTTACTGTATATATCCCATTTTCAGAACGCTATGAACCTTAATTTATAGGTACAAAGTTGATTAACGAAACTGAAATTACACAAATATAAATCACAGAATAAAAAGTAAAAATTGCTAAATTTATGTTTGTGGTGTGGGAGAGACGGCAGTGTGGCCGACAACTTTTAGATACAAGAAAAAAAATAATTACGGTTAATTTTGGGATAATGACTTAAAAGGGTAATATATTATTCAATTTGTACACATTTGGCCACTGATTTTTTTTTCATCCACATTTACCCCTTCAACTTGTTAAACTGTACACATTCAGTCTTTATGACTGGTTACTCCAGGTTAGCCGGGAAAAATGATTTAATAGGCTAATATATTTCTCATTTTATACACATTTAGTCCTTAATATTTTTGTACATATTTAGTCCTTAATATATATATTTTTTTGTTTCAAAATAAGTCATTTTTGTTTTTATACACATTCAATACTTATGAATGTTTTCTTTGAGTTTTTCTCACGACATCTTACGTGGAACAATCATTGATGAAGTGTGTGAGGTTGTTGATGTTTATGTGTAATGTCTCATTTTCACAAAAAAATTTCATTTTTTAATAAGGCAAAACTCCTTAATTATAAATCCATTATTAAGAAAAAATTGTTTATTCCAAAATACATTTATCGAAAATCAAAGTAATATAAGTAACGCGGAATCCTCAATATTGTTGATGAATGTGTACAGTCATGCATTCTCCTTTTCACGAGCAACGATAGAACCTGAAAACATAAACAACTGGGTAAGCACACAATTTAGTGAGTTTCCCCCAAAATACTCGATACAACAAACGTATTATCATGCATAACAGACCCACACTCATCAGATTGGAATACCTTGGCCCAATCAGTCATTGGACTGGAACGCCAACATGCAACAGGTCAAATCAGTCATCAAGAATACCCAGGGTTTGTTAGTATGCCGCCTTAACCCAACCGCTCTTCTCGAGTCTCCGTGCCTATAGCTTATAGTCGGCCCGCACTAGGTATCTTGGCCTACAACATATAGCAAAACCATCTCAAGCTATCCCACCACCATATGACTATCCCACATAAGATGTCGTGAGAAAAATCTAAAAAAATCATTCATAAGTACTATAAGTACTGAATGAATACAAAAATAAAAATGACTTATTTTGCAAAAAAAATATATATATATATATATTAAGGACTAAATGTGTACAA